TTGGAGGAACAGTAGGAGAAGGACAGGAAAGTTGAAAGTGGAATCGAAGAGAAAATTGGGAATTTTAGTGGACTGATGTTACATAGAAATTGAGAGCAAGTGTGATTTGTACGCTTATTTTTGGTTGGTTAGAAATTAGGGATTTTAGTCAACTCCCCTAGGTGAACTATCGGTGTTTCACCGAACCAGTTATAGTTCCGACCGTTGACTTATTGTCCTCTCGCTTTGGTGAGAAGGACTGTTAGCGACAGTCAATAATCACATCTCATTTGATAGTTCCGTTTTTAAACTTTAGTCCAATTGATCTACAGCAATGCAGACTGATAATAATGCAATCGTAGTTTACGCACTTTCAGATTTCTCCAAGGCATGACCTTGGATTCCACTAAGGTCGTTGATTTCGGACCTCCGCGTGGCCGCGGAATCGTCGCTTTACGCGAATTCAAAGCCGGGGAACAGATTTTCACGGAATCTCCCTTATTATGCTGTCAGTTCTCTTGGAATAGCCTCTATGGTTACCGTGCCTGTGACCATTGCATGCGCCCCCTGGAATCAGCAGAAGAAAATGCAAGGCGACTTACGAATAATTTCACTCTGGTTCTGCCTTATCCTGATTGTGGTTCACTATCCTCTGTGCTGGACGTTTGTCGCTGCGAAAACTGTGGAGTATATTATTGCTCCCAGGAGTGTTTAAAATCCGCCTCAATGTTGTATCATCTTGCCATATGTCCACGTCAACCAGCTCTTAAAGACGCTTTAGCTCATTTGGATGAGGTTTGGCGTCAAATGCACTATCCCCCAGAAACTAGTACCATCATGTTGTTGATTCGAATAGTTGGTGCCTGCTTATCTGCCCATGTGCATCAATCTATTCCGTCCCAGCACATAATGGATGCATTGAAAGGTTTTGTTTCTGAGACAATGGTTAAAGCTGTCACTTCAAGTTCCTATTCGGAACATATATCTCACAAACTTCTTCGTCTGGAGTTTATTCCCCACTTACAAAAGCTACATGAATCCTTCGTTTCGGTTTTGGAGAAGTTTGCTGAGTTTTGGTGTCGCCAAATGCCGTCCGATTTCGACTGTTTAGCACTACTAAAACATGTTGGATTGGATGGCCTGTTGATCATCGAGAAATTTAAATCAGCTATCTGTTTGCTGGGGCGTAATGGGCAAGGTGTTGCTACCAGTGCTTTCAGTTTATGGGCTCGTAGTGTCGAAAAATATATGGAATCAATCGGAGATGCGCAGAAGGTGGCGGAGTTTGAAGAGTTCCTCAATCAGGTTTATTCTTCCATGGATGAACACGTTGGAGGCTTCTTGGATAACGAAGGAGTAGCCCTCTATCAATATCAAAGTAAGAGTTATGAAAGGTGATTCCATTTTTTAGCCCAATTTGAGTCACAGCTGTACGCTACGCTCATTTGGTCTTTTTCGTTACACTCGTTTGATTTTTACGGCTAAATAGTACATCTACAAGTTGTGATTCTACGTCTCCGTTTCAAACTTCATTGCGGTGAACCTATTACTAGCCAAAGTTTTGCTTTCGCATTTTTATGATGAGCAAAAGCTACTGCATATACAAAGGTCATACCGTTTGGTGATTTAAATGGATAACCCAAACTCTGGAGAACCACACGGTACCGCATTATAATACGTGTGGTATTATACCGCGCGACGGTGAAGTATCGACCAATTCTGGTGGTGATCGCTGGATCCAATTCTTGAATCTTGAAGATGAGTACCAATGCCAGCCATGCTAATGATCGTCTTCAATGAAGTATATGCGAAATAACGACCTGTGCAGCCAATCAAGCTCCTCTTGTGTAATATTTTCTAGCTAATTTTTTCGTCGAATTGCAACTTCGAAAACGTGAAGTCTGTTCATCATCTTTAGACGATGCCCTGATAGTGTTCAGATCGGTATATCTATTCTTAATAGGTTCCAATCCAATTTGTCTCCCATGTATGGCAATAAGTGGTGAGAGGAGGCACATATCTGCGGAGCAAATCATATTTTAGAAAGAGATTGTGTAATTATGATAATTGGTATGCTTGGTATGTGTGTGCGTGTGTGAATACATACACACTATGGAGTTCTACTGTTTCTTGTTCTTGCCACTCAATTCTGCCGTGTTTTTTTGTTTACATGAACTTACTTCCGTTCCTTCTATTCATCTATTTATTTTGCAGATTTAAATTTGAACTAGCTTTGAATTAACTTTAGGGAGTGCAAATACGAGACAATTAAGCCTATAGCGTTTTCTCGGACATGGTTAACTTTACTCTTTAATAGAAATCAGATCTTTTGAACGTGTTGGGGTCACAGTTTCAAAGAGAAGTTTTTTTAGTTTTCTCAACCACTCTCTCACCCATCTTTTCTAGGTCTCATCAATCACAGTTGCGCCCCCAATGCCAGTGTGGAGTTTTCGGGTGAGACGAGTCAGCTGGCAATTGTGGCCCACCGAGATATATCTTCGGGTGAGGAAATCACCATATCGTACTTGGATGATTGTCAACGGTGCAGAAGCAGACATACGAGACGGAAGTATTTAAGCGACAATTATCTCTTTTGGTGCGAGTGTGGAAAGTGTGAACGCGAAAAAATGGACGGAGCTCCTAGCGAAACGTCGGATTCGGATGATTCTGCGGACAATGATGAACCAATAGATACAGATTGACAGTTGATCGTTCCTCCTCTCCTGTAAATGCAAGATTGAATAAATCACTCTCTTGACCAATCGGTGTTTTATTCTCCCGACTTCTCCTCTCTCTCATTTCTTTAGATTCCTTAGTTTTCGTGGTAGAATAGACTATTTCGATGTGACTTCTTATGCTGCAGTCATTTCACTCTGACTTTANCGAGCTTATTCTGCTGTTTCTCGGAGTCTTCTGACGACGGTGACACAGGAAGACCATCTCAAGGAGGAGCACAAGGTGACGATCTGGAAACTCGTCGTAGACTTCAAGCTGAGGCAGCAGAGCGCCGTCGGGCAGATTTTGAAGCACGCGGTTTGGCTGATCCACAGAGTGTGAAAAGGAAACAAGCTCGGGCTGAACAGAAGGATCATGCTGAAAGTCTCCATCGTAGCGGTCAAGGTCCCGAATTGCGATGGAACGTGGGGTGATCACGTGGTCTAGAACTGCAAATTTGTATTCCTGCCGTCTGCAAAACCGCCGAGCTTGGGATGGTTGTCACCAGTGACAAACGCGGATGAATGATAATGCTGTTAGTAGTCGTCAGAAACACGAATTCCCTGTGCTAAATGTACATATCGATTTTTTTCGCTTTGCCTGTTTGTTCATCGTTATTTGAGTTTCTATTTCTTCGAATTTACACCTCCCTGGTTCCACGAGTTTTCCCGAATAACTCTCCTTGTCTTCGACTGATTGGATACTTTTTTCGTTCATGAGCTTTATTTGCAGTCTGCATTTGACTTTAGTTGATTTCTTTTGTACACTATTTGTGGGTTTCTGAATACTCCATATTACTTGATTACTCATACGAGTCTAGCCTGATTTGTAATCGTTGCCGTTTGTATGTACAAACCTTCTTGTTGATTGGACGAGGCACAGAAGCTCTGTTCCCTTTGGTAACATATTTTGTGCGTGTTGTATGGTTGTAGTGAAGCGATTCTAATCACTGCATTTTTGAGAATAACATTTCAAGAGAAAGTTTCGCGAGGACTATTAACGTCCTAAAATGTGTGATTTCTGCAAAAATGGATGTCTGATTGTCCTAAGGGTCTTTATTTTTGACAACAAAATATGCCGTTCTCTGAACGCATCTCTCTGGGATACTTGCGAACTTTGAAAGCTTATTAAAATTTCGAACTGCAAGTCATGCCTCTGCCGTTTCCTGTTCTCTCGTCCTAAACTGCACCAAACTGAAAATAAATTTCCCTATAAACTTTCATTTGATGTGTGCGGTATCGAGTGTTTTTTTTCATACCGGACCGGTACGATCAGCTTATGTAATTGCATGTTTATTTATCTTTTTTGAATCCCCAGGGTTTTGTGTTTTTCTCAAAAGTTGGAGCTCGTTCTACGAAATTTTCACGTACTGATGTACACTAGTGGTTAGAGATGTTCTTCCATAAAATCCAACGTGTTTTCGTTGTTAAACGTTCGTAATCAAAAAGTCTAGTGTATCATTTTTATTACTCAGGAAGCTGTCAGATTGTTACATGATTGTGTTGCAGGTTAGGGGTAATCATGTGCCATGCGTAAATCCAGGCTTTGCTGACGCTAGAATGGCAGGCACATATTGCTCGGTTGTTATCAGCTCACGGTTGTCACATTTTTATCTCAGTCTCTTGCTTCCTATCTAAGTTTCATTGGTTTGCGTTTTACTAGGTCAGTAAATGTAGCAACTTCCTTAAGAAATTCAGCAATTTTGGGGGGTTGTTTTATTTCGAGGGTTGGTCCAACACCCAGACTCATCCTAACTGGGGAATTAATGCAGCAAGTGAACGAGTCTTGGTATTTGGGCAGCCACATCTCACCCAATGGATGCATGACGGTTGAAGTGTCAGCTCTCAAACAGAAGGCTCAATTAGCATTTGCCAACTTAAGACATCTATGGCACCGTCGCGACCTTCGGCTGTCCGCGAAGGTTCGAGTGTATGCTGCGGCAGTTCGACCAGTTCTGTCATACGGTGCAGAAATTTGGCCATTAAGAAAACAGGATAAAGATAGATTGCCGGTATTTGAACATCGCTGTCTACGCAGCAACCGGACAAGCAATACTGAGGTTAGGTGCAGAGTTCTAGGCAATCGCGGTCGCCCACCGGAGCAAATGGTCGACTTCCATAGATTACCTTGTTTTGGACATGTTCAGTTCAGTTCTGTTTGTACAGCGATTAACCGTACACTTTAGTGCGCCGGTTTTGGGACATTCATTATGCATGTCACCAAATAGGTTGCCAGGGCGAGCGATGTTTGCCGAGACAGGTAGTGGTGGAATAAAGCCCAGGGTGGTTAATCTAAGACCTGACATAAGAGTATGAAACCGTGACCAGGGGACTGGATCACGTAGGTTCTGTTAGGCTCCCTGTATGGGGACCTCCGGATAATCGTAGCCGATGGTTAGAGACACTGAGTGAAATGGCTGAGTGTTGTGAACAGTTGCGTTCGTGTATCTTTTCAATTTCTTTGCATCACTAGTCTGAATTTCTCTATCTTCTATTCGGATCTACTTTCAACTTTCCTGTCTTTCTCCTACTGTTCATCCAAGTGGGCAACCAGTAACCTGGCCCACGAAAGTACATGGTTAGTGGCTGTACAAATTGAACTGAACTAAACTCAAGGTTTGACATCCTTTCCTAGATAGAATTTTATTACCAATGTACTTTTTAGTTGAAATCTACGCCGAAAGACATTTTAGATATCCTTGCGGTGGAACAGTTGCAAAGTCGCTGTTATTTAGTTATCCTGTAGCCAGTAACTCTGCATCCTGCACATTACTCAGTCGATGAAAAGTAAATGTATTATGGTGGTCATGAAGAGGGAAGGGAATTTACTGGGCGCTTGTTGATATCCTCCGGTAGCTTTGACTGATACCTGTCCGTAGCATATTTGCGGTTTCATGGGAATACCAAGTGAGTTTTCCAATGCAAACGAACCTTGAGCAATGCAAGATTCAAACTTGCTTGCCGCTCTCACCTGCGTTTCGTTCTCGCGTGTTTTGTTCAGTTTGGTTTACTACATCTGGGTTGTGACTTTCGAACAAGATCATAGCTGTCCTCTTCTGATAATGGTGTTTGACTGTGATGTGTCGTACTTAGGACGGTAACAAGAGCTCACTGATGGTAGATATTCAATCTAGATTGGAAAGTGGAATACCAAATTCTCTACGTGCCGGTAACTAGAATTTCGAAATTGCATCAACACAGTTTATCGCTACACACCCTTTGTAGAATGACCTCTTTCTTTGCACCTTGGCTAATTAGCTCCGGCTCCCATCGAACAGCTATCACCAAAGCGGCAGAACGTATCTGACCCCCAAGGAACCCGTTTGCCTCAAGTAGCAATGTTAACTGCTGAACTTTCGAGTAACAATAGTATGATTCATGGTCTCCAGT